AAAAGGTAAGCTTCTTTCCAAGCCAGTTTAGTGAATGGGAAATCACTGAAGGCACTCCACACTTTCTAAATCTGAAAATTCAAAAGCCGGATGTCGCAAGGGTGGCATCTGAGATTGAAACCGTAAGAGTACCTCCAGGAGCCGCCTAGAACTATAAAAACACCCCTGGCCACTTTTCAGGAGGCTACTAGAGGGTCCGCCATTCAGAGCACTCCATTTCGAGCTAGAGCACTGCCATTCAGTATCTCCACTCTCTGCATGGATACATTGAACTTTCAATGCATCTCTATGAGGAGATGCTGATTGGCCATGGCAGCTTTTGTCTCCACCACCTGGTCTGCCTCCTTGGTGGAGATCATCAGAATTGGAAAATCTCAGTCAATCCAATGCTTTCCTATGGGAAAGCACTGTGATTGGTTAAGATCATCACTTCTGATGATGATAGCCAAAGAGGCAGGTCAGGCTAGCACCAACAGACTGGAATACAGGTAAGATGATACTATATTTAGGGGGGAAATGGGGGGTAGGGGGGCTAGATATTGCTTTTAACACTAAAGGGTCAGGAATACATGTTTGTGTTCCTGACCCTACAGTTTTCCATTTAGTGCTAGGGTGTTAGGAATACAAAAATATATTACTAACACTATAGTTACATATTCAATGTTTAGGTACCCATCCACCTCCAAGTGCATGGAAAAGTGAGATTTACTTACCTTTACTCCATTTCTGTGCTGGTCTTGCTGCAGCTGCCCCACCTTCATATCTGAGATGAACAATTTTGAGGATCTCAGTCAATCCAATGCTCTGCTATAGGAAAGCATTGAAAAAGTGCACTAATCAGAATCTCCTCATTATATTTGATTCATTGTATTTGATTCAATGAATCTCTTTCCTTGCAGAGTGTGGAGACACTGAACATATGTGCTGCATACAGTGCAGCACTGACATAGGAAGCACCTCTATTGGTCATATGAGTGACTATCACTAGAGGTGTTCCTAGGCAGCAATGTAAACACTGTCTTTTGTCTGAAAAGGCAGTGTTTACATTGAAACCCCTACAGGGACATGCTATAGACACCATAAGTACTTTTATTACATGGTCTGCAGCTCTGCACCCGGCAGAGCTGCAGACGGGAGAGTTAACCCAGTGGACCACCAGGGAATTTATTAAAAGGTAGGACAGCCCCCAGACCCTGTCCCCCCCTGAATGTAACCCCTTTTCTCCTTGCCCCCTCCCACCCCCCTCTGTAACCCCTTCGCTCCCTGCCCACACTGTAACCCCTTCTGGCCCTTCACTCCCTGCACCCCTCCCTCCCCTGTAACCCCTTCACTCCCTGCCCCTCTCCCCCACTGTAACCCCTTCACTCCCTGCCCCCCTCCCCCTGTAACCCCTTCACTCCCTGTCCCCCTCCCCACACTGTAACCCCTTCACTCCCTGCCCACTACTAGTATAACCCCTTCTCCCCTGCCCCCTCCCCACTGTAACCCTTCGCCCTGCCCCCCTCCCCACTGTAACCCCTTCTCGCCCCTACCCCCCACTGAAATCCTTCTCTCCTGCCCCCCCCCACTGTAACCCCTTCACTCCCTCCCCCCACTGTAACCCCTTCTGACCCTGCCCCCCCTGTAACTCCTTCACTCCCTGCCCTCCCGTAACCCCTTAACTCACTGCCCCCCATAACCCCTTCACTCCTTGCCCCCCCATGACCCTACTGTAACCCCTTCTCTGCCTACCCCCCCACTGTAACCCCTTCTCTCC